AGCATTGCTTTTAGGCTTCTTTCCTTATTTTCCCCCATCTGCAATTTCTAGTTTAAATAAATAAGGCTCAATTTATTTGAAATTATTACATTTGTTCTCTCCAAAATTAGACGGTAGATGGAATGACTTTTAGGAAAACTGCAATACAATTTATGGTGTGTCCTTTTCAATGGGAGACAAGAAAAGGCTCCTCCATGCTCTGCTAGCTCAGATTATTCATTGAAAGTAGAAAAAAATCTGTCCAGAACCCGAAGCCGCCTGAGTCTTTGCTTTTCGGATGTGATTTCAGGTAGGACTGACAGCTTTGTGGTCTTTGTGTTCTTAAAATATTGATTGAGTGAGGGCTGTGCGCACGTCCCAGCGAGCCTGAGGTTTTGGTTTTTAAGGAGGTGCGGGGCAGTTCATGGAGTAGGGGCAACTACAGTGAAGACTGAAAACACAAAGTAGGAAAGAAACAAGCAAACCAAAAGAGACAACCTTACAAGAGACTGTCACCAGCTACCCAAGCAGACTCAACGCACGTTTACAAGTCACAACTGTGCGTATTTCCAAATGAAATAAACCAAGGAACGTAAGTTGCAATAAACACAAGTCAGCACAGACAGCTCTGCATTCATTTTTAAAATAAAAATCCCACAACTATGATATAAACATTATAAATATTAATATTTCCCTTCTTATTGAAAATGATAACCATGACAGAAGTGTCATCCATGAGGCCAAAAGAGAATAATATTGCCAAAAATCTTAAAGAAATATTTGTATTAATATTATGAAAGTCATACAAACCACATTACAGCTAATACAGAAAATAGAGGGGGCCGGGCATGGTGGCTCATGCCTGTAATCCCAGCACTTTAAGAGGCCGAGGTGGGTGGATCACCTGAGGTCAGGAGTTTGAGACCAGCCTGGCCAACAAGGTGAAACCCTGTCTCAACTAAAAATACAAAAATTAGCCAAGTGCTGTGGTATGTGCCGGTAAACCCAGCTACTCTGGAGGTTGAGGCAGGAGAGTCACTTGAACCTAGGAGGTGGAGGTTGCAGCGAGCTGAGATCACATCATTGCACTCCAGCCTGGGCTACAAGAGTGAAACTCCATCAGAAAAGAAAAAGAAAGAAGAAGGAAGGGAGGGAGGGAGGAAGAGAAAGGGAAAGAAAGAAAGAAAGAAAGAAAGAAAGAAAGAAAGAAAGAAAGAGAGAGAGAGAGAGAGAGAGAGAGAAAGGAAGGAAGGAAGGAAGGAGAAAGAAAGAAAGAGAAAGAAGGGAGGGAGGGAAGGAAGGAAGGAAGGAAGGGAGGAAAAGAAAGAAAGAGAAAAAGAAAGAGAGAAAGGAAGAAAATAGAGGGAACAATAATCTTTAATTCCACCTCCCTTATATATCTACTCTTGATTTTTTGGGTGCATTTCTTTCCAGTCTCTATTTCTTAAGCATAGATTAATGTTTACCTTGCAATCAGAGTTTAAATATGTTTTTGTTCATTATTTACTTCCTATTACATCATAAACACTTTTTATATTACTCCTAGACCGCATAATGTTTCAAGTGAATACACTATAATTTACATAACCATTCCATGATTTGCAGTTATTTATTTTTTCTCAGTTATTTAATATTATAAATAATGCTGGAATGAACAGCTTGGGGCATATAAGCATTTTAGATTCATTTCTTAGCCTAGATTCCCAAAAGTGCAATTACTGGGTCAAAGTTTTTGATGTATTTACTGCCAAATTATTTTCTATTTATAATGTCAAGAGCAATATATAAAGTATCAATCTTATACAAGTTGGCAGACATTTTATTATAACTTTAAAAACAGTTTTATTCATTTATTGGTGAAAACACTTTTTTTCAATCTTTATGTGTTTGATTTCCATGAGGGTCTGTATGTTTCCAATACAGACTCCCTAGTTGTCATTCTGCCTCCCTGAGTTATCTATTCATCCTTCTGATCTAGCTGTCACTTCCTTTATTCATCCCTTCCCTTATCATCTTGAGTGGTTAACTCCTAACCTTCATCTTACTGACATACTGGAGTATTCCTCTTTCTTAAAACATCATCTTCCTTTGTCTCCTCTCACACCACCCTCTCCTATTTTCTCTTCTCTTTAGCACCTTCTCTCAGTGTATTTCAAAGATTTGGGACGTCTCTGTTTGGTTCACTGTTCTCTTCTCACTTGCCACCCCCTTGCTAGATGATTCCATCTTTCCCTGTGGCTATAAATACAATTCATATGTAGACAACTTCTGTATGTTCAGCCAGATCTGTCCTCTGACTCGTATTTCTAATTATCTACAGTAGGTCTCAAATGAAACATCTCTAAAATAATATCACTGAGGCCAACTTCTTAAATTTCACCCCGAATTTATTTCTCTCTATTTTCACCATCTGAGGAGTGGCATTCCCACTCACTGCTGCTCCAAGGAGACATTTCTGGGCCCTCCGTTCCTCATTCTGCCTGTGCAGGTTCCTCACTGCAACACTGCCTCCGAACCTGTCTGTTTTCTTCCATCTTCACTGCCACCTCCATAGTTTAGGCCATTGATATTTATGTAGACTCTTAACCAATTTTAGCTAACTTCCTCTCTGCTCCACATTCTTTTGTCGTTATGCAGCCAGAAGGTTATTTTAAAAACAAAATTAGATTGTGTCTTTCCCTTGCTTATAATTCTTCAAAAGCTTCCCACAGCACTTGAAATAAGACCCATATTCCTCAATCAGGTCTGTAAGATCAGGCACGATTTTCCCCCACCTACTTCCCTCAGCTTCTCTCTTGCCATCCTTACCTCTCAACTGTCCAGCCACATCCATCGGCCCTTCTCGGACATGCCAAGTACCGTCCTGTGTCAGAGCCCGAGATGAGCCTGGATCATGCATTCCCTGATTCCTTACCTGGATCTCTGTGTTTCATCTGTCAGCTCTTGCTTTAATGTCCCCTTCTCAGAGAGAAATGTCTACACTTTCTTACTGAAGACATTTCCCCAGACTTTTAATTTCTATGATAACATTTGTTTCCTTGATAACCCTCAAAACAGTTTGAAATTGTACCTTTCAGCACTTTGTTTGCTCATAAATAAGTGAATATTGTCTCCCACTCTGAGCTGTGAGCTCCACAGGATCAGAGATCCTGTCCATTTACACCACTGTACCCCGAAACTGACAAAATACCTGGTACAGTGCAGCACTTAATGCATAGTTACTGAATGAATGTTCACCAACAGCATTTTGTCTTTTGGACAGTAGGGAGGCGCTGTAAGATCTCAACTGTGGAATTGGTGTTTGGCAAGAAGAATGATGGTGGGGAATTTGGCAGAAGCCTAGAGAATGGGATTACAGAGGGGCATAACTGGAATGCGAGTGAACTAGTCAGGTGCCTGTTGAAATCTTGAGGCTAGAGATGAGGCAAGTCCACACTAAGGAGACAAGACGTCCCGCATACTAAGTACAATGCTGAGTGCAAACTCAAGAGTCCGTTTAGTTTGGCAACCAACAAGCTTGCTTTGTAAAAGTAGATTTAGGGGGTCAATAGGGACAGCCGACATATTGCTTACGGTTGCAGGCTGGAAGAGAAGCCTGACACCAGCAGGTGTGGAGATTCCTTGAGGAGCTAGGCTGTGAGAGGACAGGGAGTTAGGGTAAGAAGAGAGAGTGGGGGATTGAGGGTGGGATTTTAATTTTAAAAGAAACAACTTGAGCACGCACTCTTATTTTGTAGGGGGCACAAATGGAATAGAGAGGGAGATGTGCAGACGCTTTGGGCTTCAGCTGATCTTACAAGCACAGAGGTCTTTCGTAGGAGGCAACGTGCCTACAAATGTCTGAAGCGTCTAAAATATCAGAACTTATAAGTCACATTTTCATATAAAAGTGAATTAGAAGCAGTTTGAGAATACAGTGCTAATTCATATATGCATACATTCATAACTTGCGTAAATACGTTAAAAGTTGTTTGGAAATGTGACCCAATGACATGGATCCTACTTCCAGACTTTGGAAAATATCTGCATATGGTTCTTATCCTTTAGCACTAACATGACACATATAAACAGATGTAAATAGCTAAAAGGGGCCTGTAAGCTACTTTGTAAGCACGGCAGGCAAATACTTCACCAAGCGTCTTGGCATGGTGAGTATCACCTCTGCCTACCTACACTGTGGGCAAAAGTCCTTAGACTTCGAGTTATGATATAAGTCATGGATCTCAGAATTAGGAAGGATATCTGAGGAACTTATCAGAATGATCTAATCAGTGTCAGGGTGATTTCTTCACCTTTTCAGAGTAGTGGTCACCCAGCCTGTTGGCATATGCCCCTCCAAGCATGCTAAAATTTACGGAGATGATAAGAAGAAAGTTAACATAAGGATGAATATTGTTAATGTATTGCTTATTTCCTTCTAGTCTTTTAATTATAGATTTACAAACTTATGAATATATAGTGTGTAGTTTTGTTATCTTTTTTTCTCGCAATATTACATGATAGGCATAGCTCCTGACCAACATGAGCTGTGTAATGCCTGCCTTGCACTGCATTCTGCTGTGTGAGTGAACGAATAATTTATTTACCTACTCTCCTGATGTTTGACGTTAACAGTATTTTACCACTATAAATAATGTGCTTACAAACATGCTTGTGCCTGAATGTCTGTGCCTATCTCTATTTCCTTAAGATGGATCCTGAGAAGCGGAATCAATTTTAGTGTTTTAAGGTATAATTTATTAACAACTTCTAGGAAGTGTGTACCAAATTTTAGACCTAACATACCTCTTGTACTAATACAGGGTATCTCATTACTGTCAAGATATTTTTAAAAGCCTTTTTGTTAGTTTGATAGAAACTGAATGGTACTCTATTTTGAAACCATATGTCTCTGTTTATATATGTGACAGTAATTGTCATTATTCATCTGAATTTTTTCTTGATTGGTTTGTTGATGCTCCTTGTTCTTTTTTTTTTTTTTTTTTTTTTTTTTTAATTAAAATAATGGTATATATTTCCCTGGTCCTGTCTCAGTCATTCTCAACCCTGGCTGTGCATGAGAATCACCTGGGGTGCTTTTAATAAGTATACTAATGCCAGGCCCCTTCCCAGTGATTCTGGTTTCCCTGGCCTGGATTGGGGGTACGAGCGTTGGTATTTTTTCAATTCCCTAAGTTACTTTCCCGGCAGCCAGAGTTAAACACCATCAATGTAGACTCTCCAGATATTAACCTGCTGCCTTCTTATGTTCTCCTGCTTGGCAAGTTTATAGATGTTCACATTTTTGACAATAAAATCTAAGCATGGGTTGCAGAGAGTTTGAGGTATGTACTCAGATACTGGACTGTCTGGGTTTAAGTCCTGCTTTCGTCCTTTGTAAGCTATCTCACCTTGAGCAAGTCACCTTCTCTCTCACTGCCTCGAGTTTCTCTGCTGTAAACTGAGATTAATTTATAGTGTGCACCTCATGTCTTTGTTAGAAAGATTCAATTGACTGGTATTGATGAAGCTTATACAACAATGCCTAGTACACTGTAAGCATTAGACAGGTGTAGGCAGTTTTTTCCTTTATCGTTTCTTTTGTTAGTTTTAGTCTAAGAAAGTATTTTCCTTCCCTAAGATCAGGTAAGTATCGGCGTGTATTCTCCCCCGAGTTGCGTGTTTTATTTTTTTCTTATCGATTTCATTGCCTCTGAAGTCTGTATTTCTCTCAGTCCTGGGATGAAGTTGATGTAGAAGAACAAGCCAATCCACTGGGGCCCCAAGGAGCTGATGTTCAATTTCTCTAACCCTGCGTTCCACCTCGACCACTTATTCCTGATTTCAGGAGGCCAACCAAATTTGGTTTGGGGTGTTGTTGCTTAACTTTCAACACCCATGTAAAATGACTCTGATATGTACTTTGTCATATGTTTTAAACTTGTTCCTCTGCTTAACTTGGGCCTTATCAACTCATATTTGTCTGCACACCTCTCTGGATCTCAAAGGCAGACCAACTGTCAAGAGGCTACAAATTACTTTCCCAATACCTGATGATGACAGATTCAACATACCTCTGCAAAAATCAAAGGGAGAGAATATTATGGCAGGCACATGAGCACAAACTGATGCAAAACGACCATCATTGCAAAGTATTTTACTTCCATGGTATCCAGAAAAGGTATGAAGATGAGAAGTTTGATCATGAGATTTTGAAATGAGCCTCAAGAATGGTATGAGAAAGCACATCTTGGTAGCTTTTGTTCTTTCCCTGATGATCACCTCCTGCTCACACAGCCACTTCTTCCTTCAATTCTCCCAGATGTTGGAAGTCAACCTCATTGTTTTGGTTCATGAATTATATTATGCAATAAGTTAAATGAAAGGAGTTGAATTGCAACAAAAACAACCGTAAAATTTTTATGAATTTCACTTTAGGGAAGAGTATAAACATCTTCTTTGTTTTTAACTTATCAATTTTCCATCAGCTTTTTAGGAGCAGCCTTTCCAGCTTGCTTTTAGGAATGATAGCATCAGCAAACACAGGAGAAAGAGGCTGTATGGGCCAGCAGCTGTAAGACGCCAGGATATTGGAAGCTTCAGATGGTATGTCTGAGTCATGCTCAGTTTTGTGGTCCCTGTTTTTATTTCCCAAAATGCTTTAATAGTGACAGAGGGTATTGAAATGTATGGCTATCCTGAAAGTATCTGGAGTCTTGATCCAGTTTTATAAGGCTGGAATATTTGCATTCTTTATATCTTATAAATTACAATCACCAAATGCTTCTATAGAGAATGTTTTTTAGCTATAAATCTCTGAAATAAGTTAATAGTGCATACTTTTTAACTTTTATGAATGGCACATTTTTAGATATGGGTTTGTTTGTTGTTGTTGTTGTTGCTGTTGTTGTTTTGAGACAGAGTCTCTCGCTGTCACCGAGGCTGGAGTACAGTGGCACAATTCTAGCTCACCGCAGTCTCAAACTCACAGGTTCAAGTGATCCCCCAGCCTTAGCCTCCTGAGTAGCTAGGACTCCAGGTGCATAGCATCAGGCCTGGTTATTTAAAACAATCTTTTCTTTTTCTCGTGTAGATGAGAGTCTTGCTATGTTGACCAGGCTGGTCTCGATCTCCTGGCCTTCCTTAAATAATCCTACCTCCTTGATTTCCCAAAGTGCTGAGATTACAGGAGATATGTGATTTTTAAAGCCATAAATGCTCATATTTGCAAAGGAGCTGAGAGATCTAATACTAGGATTTAAGTCCACTGCTGAGTTAAAAGCCTGGCATAGGAGAATGTTTGTTGAATGAATGAAAAGTTATTTGCTATATGAAACAGCAATAAATATATCATCTGGGTCACTGACTTACGTACCGCCGTTGCTTTAGTTAGGACTAATATCCCATTTAAATTAAAATATTGGACTATACTGTACTCTATTATATGCTGAGTCAGATTTCTCCCAGTCATAATAGAAGAACTACTGTAAGTTACGTTAATACTTGGAGGCCACTTGGGTACCCTTTAGTGCAAAGAGACTGTGCTGATTGAATTTCCGCTCACACCGCTTCTGTAAGTCTTAACTCTACTCCCAAGGAGTACTTTGAGCCTTAGGAAACCCTGGCTCTCTGGATTCTCTTTCTCGTGGGATGGGCTAATGATGGGGGTAGGGTGGGAGTAGAGCAATTATTTTTTGCCAACTCCAACCACTGCAGGAAGACGCCGGCTACAGAGGTCAAGTTTCTCTTGTTTACTGGCCGTGGACATTTCTGTTGCGTAGTTCTTTTGTTTTCTCTGGGTGTAATCTCTGTTGCACATGGAGTTCAGACAATGTAGATGACCCTGTTGTCCACGGACAGAGATCTCCTTCAAGACATTGTTGTCCCTCACTGGGCCAAAGTCCCATTTTAGTACGAGAGAGAGAAAAACAAAAAAAAGAAACAATGGAGACAAATTTAGACACTGATGGGAAAAGAAAAGCAGTGCACTGTCCACCCCAGCCCTTTGAAGCTACACCCACCAGGCCATTTCCTTTCACCTTCTCAGGGATTCCCAGCGACGCAGAAGCGCTTGTGTGTGCCAAAGCAGAGGGCAGATGATTCACATGTAGCTGACCCTTGCCACGTTAAGTTCATGTCCCAGGAGATCCTTCTAAAAAAAACTACACTCCACGTTTCCAAACAGAAGCAAGATTAATCTCTCCGTTAAAATCTAGACAGGATCATTATCAGCTTGATTTTCCCACCCACGCCTGGCCAGCATTAAACCCTGCGCCAGATGCATCTTAGCACATTCCACATTCACCAGCCTGCATCCTCTGATGGGGGATAAAGGGGCCTCTGCTGAGCCCATTTTTCACTTCTTGGTCCCATTCTGAAGGAACCACTTCATCTCATGTATTCGTGTGCTCTCTGCTTCCCCTAACTCTAGACAATGTAAATGGACTCGGTGACGGGAGGAGGCATTTATCAGCATGTAAGATGCATGAGGGGGTTTGAAGGTATCCACGCTGTGTGCTATTTATGCTGGGATGTATGCGTCTACTGTAGAGGCCTAGATAGTAAATGTAACAAGCACTAAGAGTGCAATCTCCTCTTGCACTGTCTTGTTAATGAGCTGTGAAACTAGACAGATGCGGCCGTAAATACATAATACTATTTCACATGGGAAGAATGTCTGGTTTGACATCATCTATCACATCACTGGAAGGTCTCTTTTTAGCAGGTCACGGAGTGTCATCGTAAAGTGTTTAATAATTACTTACATATTTAGTGGGAAATTCTTTATAGGTGCATATCATTGGCGTAATCACAAATATCGTATACATTCCATTTTCAAGCAGTTTTAAAATCTCATACACAGGATCTATGCAGGTGTATAAGGCACAGTTATTTGACCATCTGTATGTACTAATAACCTATATTTTACTTAATTTAAGTGGATGCAACTTCTGGAGCACAACTTTTCAACCTGCAAGCTTTTCTTCTAGCTTCAGTTCCTGGTGGTGTCATTTCCCTCCATTGTTTCTCCCCTGAAGTCTCCACTTTTTAACCTTACAAGAAAGGGAATGTGATGGGCGGCAGAGAGGAGAAAAGTAGGTAGCAATCAGAGGTATGTGATTGAAGGAGGGAATTGTGAGACCAAGGCTGAGAAAAAGAAATCCAATGTTGACTCGTTTCTGTTTAATCCCGAATGAAAATGCAGCTGGCTTATTGTAAATGAACATGCAGTTACCATGTCTGAAATGGTTTCAGTATAGAGAAAATAAAGGGACACATGCCAAGGCACAAGTGCACACTCTTGCATGGCTTTTTTATAATTTGCCTAAAATACGACTTTCTAGTTTCCCAAAATACACTATCCCACCAAAGACCTAGACATCTTTTGCCACAGAACTTCACACATTTCATTTGATAGGTATTCAAAACACTATAGGATGAAAACTAGAATTTTTAACCTTTGAATCTTTCCATTTCTCTCTCCTCAATAACTTGTGCAGCCTTTATGTGGTTCTGGCCTAACAGAATCTCACCAGGACGGCTCAGAGCTCGCTGCGCTCAGCAATGCCTGTCATCCAGGTCAGCCCTACTCTCCTACATGTCTTCCTCTGCACCCTCCTCCCCCGGCCCATCTCATTTCCTGTCTCTTTTCTTCCTTACCTTCCCCTTGCCATGTTTCTCTCCTTGGTTTGTATTCAACCCTGTAAGTGGTAATTGCACTATTTGGTGCTGAATTTTTAGGATTCAAATTGGAAATGAGGAGGTTGTGTCATGGTATATGAAGCAGAATGATGCCGTGCAGCGAAATTAGGGGAGGCAATGTAGAGGGGGTTCCAAATAGACAAGGAATTTATACTGGATGTTCTTTATATTCCCTAAGGGACTGACTAAAGACTTCATAAAGGTAAAAATGATTGCATATTAAACTTTTTATTGTCTGTTGTTTCAATCTCATGCCTTCCTGTTTACTTATCGAACATATGGTCAGTTCGGTGACCTCTCTTGCTCGTGATAGGATGCATACAACCTGGGGCAAGAGCTTGTATTTGGTCCCTTGTCTAAATTGTCTCCTTAATCATGGGGCTTCATCATCACAGGACCAGACAGAGCTGTCTGTGAAAGACTGGAAAGGAGAACTTCAAACAGAGTTTCTCAACTGCAGGCGCTAGTGACATGGGGCTGATCATTCTTGACTGTGGAGTGTCCTATGCACTGGTGGATGTTCAGCAGCAACCCTGACATCTCCCCACTAGATGCTGTAGAATTCACCACCCACGCCCACCGTGTGAGAATCGCAAGTGTCTCCCTACATTGCCAAACGTACCCAAGGCGGGAAAATCAGACCCCATTTGAGAAGCACTAGGTTAGGATCTTATAGCAATCATGGCCTTCTTCCCATTTCTTTACTGAATCACATTGTTCTGCTTCAGAGCATTTGAACCACCACTTCCTCGTCCTGGACTTAGCTTCCCCAGAGCTTTACACACCTCACTTCCTGAAATTGTTCTGCTCAAAAGTCACCTCAAAAGATGGTGGGGAGATCTTCCCCAAACATCCCTTCTTAAATAATGTGTTCTACCCTCAACTGTTCTACCTTCTTTCTCTCCTTAAACTACAGCGTTTATTCCTACGTGCATTTATCTTATATTCTAATTTGTTTGTGTTGGCTTCATTTACTAGAACTTAAACTCCTCAAGAGCTGAAACTTTAACTTGTTCACAGTGTATTCTGTGCAATTCCTGGCATGCAGAATGTGGTCTGCATATTTGTTGAATAAATGAATGACTGTTGAATCGGAGCCACCAATCCTGCTGCAGACAAATCCAGAATCTGAGCCTGCCTGTTGGGGAGAAGCACGTGAGGGAATTTGCTCATGTCCAAGGCTCTAGCGCCCACAAACCTTTCAGTTTCTATTCATTTATCATTGGTTAATACTATGAATTTTTCCCACCATAGAGATTTATAAAAAAAATAGGTTCTCACATTCATTGTGAATAAGTGTTTGGTATTGAATCTTTCTTTCCCGTGGAAAAGAACATTGTGACACCATTGTTGTTCCCTTTTCCTTTTCTAAATCATTATCAAGATGTTAACGGAAGTGATGCTAGTCATTCAACCCATGATTCCGTCCCTGAGTCAAATTTCAGATCTTTAATTTTAAGAAATTATATGTTACCTAATTTTAATATATTATACACATATAATTTTTTAAATTAAAATAATGCATGTACACATTGTTTTCTTTGCTTTGCTTTTTCTTATTGAGCTGGTTTCTATCCTGGAAGGAAATGAACTGTCGAAACAAACTGGTGCCAAATGTGCTGGAACTGTGTTTACTTGCATCAAGAGTGTCCTTCTCATAGAGGAACTACGGTTTTGCAAAGAGCCTCAACATCTGTGTGGACCCTAGGGCACAGGAGTTCAAACTGTTGAAATGTCACCTTCCCAGAGAGGAACAGGCAGTGGATTCAGGTCCCCTTGGAGCATTTATCATTTAGGTGCCGCCCTTACTGTCCCTTGAAGGAAGTATGGCTTTATGGTCAGAGAGAAGGTCTATAGGTCAGTCAAGCTGGGTTCAGATACAGCCTCCATCATCCACTAACTGT